CGCCGCTAAGGAAATTGTCGAGGGAGGAAGGCACTTCCTGTCCGTCAGAGCTAGGTTGATCGGTACTGGGGAGGGTTGTGGTGCCTTGTTACCCTCGCAGAAGGGGGTATGAGATCAATTGAGTTCTGGTACGAGGACTGAAAGCCTGGGCCGACGCCCCATCTGTTGGAAGGGGGAATCTAGGATAGTAGACAGATTTAGTCTTGCCCCCCCCCCCTCCGCCCGTCCTTATATTTTTCTAAATTTTTTTTCGAATGTCCCAAAAAGAGTTGGGTGCTTAGTGGTCCTAGGAATGTTTTTTAGGACTCTGGGATCCCTACTAACTCGTCTTAGGTGGCTTCAATGCGGTTATACTCAGTGACCTGCGGTTGTTCGATGCAGAACGACGCTGACCAGTGCTGGGGTGTTGCCCTGTAACCTGCGATGTAGGAGCGTGAGGTCTGGTAGAGAGATCTGGGGATGTCTTGGGGTGGGCGTTCCGCGCGACAACCAAGGGTTGCTGCCGGGACGACGCTGGTCGGAGTTCGGGTGAGTCGCGCTGCCCTGTAACCCAGCAGAAAGTGGGGGTGTGACACCTAGAAGAGACCGGCAGGGAGTACGACAGTTTTGGAGAACGTTGGAATGGTTTGTGTGGGATTTCGAGTTTTTTGGAATAATCGTAGGACCTCTGTGGCCTATTCTCATGCTTCTGGAACGAGGGTAAGAGTAAGATGAGTGGGAGAGGATGGTGGGTTACCACGCGTTCTACCAGTGAGGGGATAGCTGGTAGGATGGGAGTGTGGCATAGCAGCAGCAGAGATGGTGGCTCCGCTGCAGTCAGTCTTGCAAGAGTGAGGTATAGTGGATTGATGGGGGGGGTTTTGAGTCATTTCTGAATTTCGCTTAATCATGAAGATTGTCCTAAACATGTCTGAAGCAGCTCTATTTTTTTCGAGCCAAAGCCGGGTAATGGCCCTGGTGCAAGGAAGATGAGCAATAGCGAACTTCAGCAATCAAACAGCATCATACATAAGAGTCCAGATAGTCGCGACCTCGAACCAACAGCAGAATTGC